GGCTAACATTAAGTCGCCATGGCAATTTTCTCTGATGAAGTGTTTAAGTGAGCTAAGCTACTATTCATGTGGCTTTATGTTAAAGCCCTCAGTAAACACATATTTTTCACCTTGAAATGAATTACATTCCAAAGAATGGAGAAGAGATACATCTGTGTAAAGTTCAGTCATTTTTAGAGTTATGCGTTTCAGAGCTGGAGGTGCTGAGAGGAGGCATCTCTCCTTCCTCAGAACTTCAACACCAGGCCCACACCTCTGTCAAAGCACACAGCACCTTGAAGCCCAGTGGTCTTTATTCGACTAAAAGGGTAGTTCCTTAAGGAGAGGGATTATATCTTATTTCTTTTGTTACCCAGGGTTTAACTTGTATTTTCAATCATAGGCAAATAAATAGCTCATGGCCCAATCCAAGAGGGATGCTACATTCAAGAAAAGCCAGTAGAAGCCGAATAACTTGTGTTAGGTAATACAGTTAGTTAGAAGACGGATGAAAACCCAGATCTTTTTATTTTCATGCTGTGGAAATCTTAGTCGGCAAGTTAAACCTAGGTATTGAAAATGGGTTGACTATAGGGTGCAGCTCATGATGACTGGTTTATACACCTTTGTATGAAGGTGTTGTCTTAAATATTATAAATGTAATTAATTAATCATTCTAATTCATGGAGATATCTAGCATGAATGCCCAGCGATTCAGAGTGCAGTGGATTTGAATTCTAGTTCATACACCAGCTGCGTGGCTTTGATAAGCTCTTCAGTGTAATCCTCAGACACTCTTCTGTATAGTAGACACAATAGTAGCTACCTCACAGGAGATGTAAAGACCAGACAAAACAAGAGTAGAACACAAGCTCAGGGTCAGCCACATAGTCACCAGCACGGCAATTTAAACTGCTTTGGAGGGATTTGTTTAGTGAATGAACAAAATATATCCAACTAAAAAATATATTCAAAATATGTATACATATGCAGGTATATATTAAAATATAATTTAATATGCACACATTCTTTTTTTAGTATTTACATATACATAGTATGTATATACAGAGGGAAATTTTTCAGATAAAAGGACAACAAAATATTAAGATGATTGAGTAGTGGAAGTTTGTTTTCATCTATATTTGTATATTGTTTCTACAATAAGCATGAGTAAGAATTTGTATAAAATAGATTTACATATTTATCTTTAAAAATAAATTTTGACTTTTATCAAAAATGAGATTTGGTTTAAATCTTATTTATTTGGGGATAAATCCTAAAATTACTTTCACATGTGATCTACTGACAATGCCAAAGTTATCGGAATTTTTCCTCAAAATGTTGCTGGGATTTTATTTTTAATTCATTTAGTTAATTTTTTAATCTATTTACTGATTTTATTTAATACTTAACATGCAACAGGCAGTGTAGTGGTTTATGAATATGAACTCAACTAAGAAAGGGTAATAATACCTTATTTGGAGAGAAAAATAACTAAATGTAGGAGTAAGGCATACCTAGAATTAAAAGAAAAAAAGCATAGTCTAACTTTTCAGATTAACGAAAAATACAGGGCAAATATAAAATTCCTGGGAATTATTTTATTCACATATACATCATAGCCAGCAAAATAGTCTAGCTTAAATACATTCTGCTAAGAAATGAGTCACTATTTTCAAAATAATTTTGACATGGTTTTATAAGGCACGATTTTACAAGGAAATCATCAAAAAACTCTGTAAACTATATAACAGGTTCTATATTGTTTTCTCTATACTATATTGTTTTCTCTCTAACCAAAACTACCAATTGTTGTTGTCTCCATGAAATTCAAGTGTACAATTACAAATGTAAAAATAAGATTGAGAAATCTTTCTCATTGTCTCCCCATCATGCTCTTTTCTGCACACACAAGATCTCCACGAAGCCAGCAGGCAGAGACTCTGTAGCTGTGGAGGTCACAGAGGGGGCACAGCAGTGGGTAAGACTCGAGCTGGTAGTCAATATGATATACTTCTAGAATCAGTAATAATCACCCCGAATAACACGGGAATATCATCATAATATATGATGGACTATCATTTCTTCTTGCTGTTCGTTATGCAGCTGTGATGACTATAACTCAACAACAAATTTGTCATAGAACGTTCAAAAAAGGTGGGGGGCAATATGAGTGGGCTTGCATATGTCTGTTCTGGGAACATATGATTTTTTTTCTAATATAAATCCAAAGATATTCACAACCATATTTGCTTCATGTGTAGAAATGGCTATTCCTAAATATCAATGTTCCAAAGGCTAACCACACCAAATCTGTCACTTCTGTCACTGAAATGCTGAGCAATATAGAAAGAACTACAAGCTCTTAGGAAAAGGAAGAATCATTACTAGTGTTTCTAAGCTGACTGCTTCAGGAAAACCACCCTTACAAAGATCAGTGGCTACAGCTTAACCTGGGAGAGAGCAGTTGTTTTCCAGCCTGCCTTAATGTCCATTCAGCACCAGAAGATGAGCTTATGTTCAAAGTCTGAAATCGTAAGCATTTAGATCAATGAAACAATAGAGTCAGCCTCAGATGCGCTGATTCTCCCTTCTGACATACCTGTACTAATTTCAGGAAGTCAAACATGTGCAATAGCTAATAGCTGCCCTGGCAATTATTTTCATACCAAGAAAGAAAAGAGCAGAGGATTATTAAATCTTTCCATCTGGGGATAAATCAAGGAGCTTTTCCAACTTCATGGCAAAAAGCAGAGGTCCTTAGAAAAATGTTATTCAATTTCTTTAGAAAACTCCCATGCTGTATTAGTCTGTTTTCACACTGCTCTAAAGAACTTCCCTGAGACTGGGTAATTTATAAAGGAAAGAAGTTTAATTGACTCACCATTCTGCATGGCTGGAGAAGCCTCAGGAAACTTACAATCATTGAGGAAGGAGAAGCAGGCACCCTTCTTTGCAAGGTGGCAGGAGAGAGAGAAAAGCCCAGGCAAAACTGCCATTTATAAAACCATCAAATCTTTTGAGAATGCACTTACTATCACCAGAGCGGCATGGAGGAAACTACATCCCATGATTCAATCACCTCCTACCAGGACCCTCCCTCAACACATGGGGATTATGGGGATTACAATTTGAGATGAGATTTGGGTAGGAACACAGCCAAACCATATTATATTCACATCCTAGAAAATACAGCAAAGTTTGAAGCCCCCTAAGTCCAAAGGGCATAGGGCTCTAAAAATAAAACAATAGCAATAAATAGGAAATTGAAGCAGAAAGGGAGTTAGGATTCAACACACCCAGTCCTCCAGCCCCTATCACTTTACTGATAAGAAAACAAAGATCAGAAACTTATCCCAAGTCAGACAGTGCATTTCAGGCAGAGCCAGGGTTAGAACCCATAGCAGACTGCAGACTCTTGACACAGTATCCTCCCACTGTAATAGGCTGCTTCACAGTAGGAAATGGGAAGCCACTGAAGGTTTTTGAGCAAATAAATAGCATGATCATCTTTGTGTTTCAGGAAGTTCAATCTGTCAATCCTATATGTAAACTGGAATTTAAAAGATCAGCATTAGTGTAACACAGCATCAGTCCAGGGCCACAGAAACAGGAACTAAGGGAACAGAATGGAAGGGGAAAGATTCAAGTGATATTTCAAACCTACTTGTTTGCAGGCTTTATGAAGGCAAAGCCAGTTGTATCCCCAGCTCCTAATACTATATACCCAGTACATAAAATGCAGGCAGTCACCACTTACTAAATGGACAAATGTTTTAAAGAAGTAGAAAAGACAGGAATCAGTGACTGACTGCATAAAAGGAAGGGAAGGTGTCAAAAATTACCTCGAAGTTTGTGAGTTACATGGATGAGAGAATGTTGAAGAAATTGGTGGTTTGAGCACAAGGAAAAAAATGAAATCTTGGAGACCATCTAGAGTGGACCTGGAGAGGGCTTTCTGTCTGGACTGACCAACATAGAAGTAATCAGTGAAGCCATAGAACAAGTGAGAATGCCACCAAATTACAAAAATAGAAACAGAGCTAGAGACATCCGTGGGGTTAACATGTGCACCTGTAGAGTATACATGGGAATGGTTTTAAACTAATAGTTCTCCATATCTGGATAACTGAAAGAACAACAGAGTTGGCATTTGACAAAAATAAGGGACAAAATTTCAAACCCAAACTCAAAGTCAATGTGAAATTTTTAAACAGAAAGACCCAAATGTGTGCATACAGTAGCAGTCAGAAAATTTTCACTTCTATGAACTTGTCCAGAATTTTACAATCAGGAAACCTTAATAAACCCTCATGATTTTCATTTTAACAACTGTATAAAGTTTGAGTTTTATGACAAAGAAATATTTTAATTCCAAAATATATACTAGGTATAGGGGGCATCAGAATCTTTTCAGGGGCTGGACCAGGTAGCAGACAAGCCCTGACATCCCCACCCTTGGGAGCGACAGCATTTGCATGCATCCTTTCTGCAAGATCCCTGAGGAGAAGTCACCTGCCCATGTCTGCTGCTGGCCACAGCAACCTTCTCAGGGGTATCCTGCAGCTTTTCCACTCCTTCCATCCACCTGGTCAATCACATATGGGCCAGCCCTTTGAAATGGAAATATATAAGTATATAGTGTGGTTATTACTTAAGGTCTTAGAATCCTAGAAACATAAAAATCAAGATTCATAGTCTGTTAGAGCTAATTATGACCTTAGAGATGAGCTAGTTAAATCCCCTCGAGGGAACTGGGAACAAAATCTGACCATCCCTCCAAAGATAGAAGGGCTAGGTTTTTAACTGAGGTTGGTGTTTCAGGATCTGTGGGTGGAAAGGGAGGCTGAGAGTGGGTTTGCCCTCCTCCTGCTCTAGAATGAGCACTTGTGAGAATAGCACAAGGCAGAAAGTCTTGAAAACCACAGATACAAGAGCAAACAGGATTGCAAATAGGATGTGGGATCTGAAGAAGTGACAGAAGGTGACTGGACAATCAGTGGAGGTGTATCAGGGTGGGGATGGTTCTTACAGACCCTTCGGGTGAGTTCTTCCTACAGTAACCTGGCCCTGCTGTGAATTAGGGATATCCACTTCCCCTGAAGAGAGATTCCTCCATCATTCATGGCATTACAGTTGACTGTCATCACTAGAGTGGTGGAAATAAGAGTTTTTAAACAAAGGGAAATACAGTAAGATCACAAGTATTAGCTAAGCATGATGGAACTACATGTTTATTATAAAGAAGAGTAACATTAAAATGCCAAAAGAAAATTAAAGCCACCGACTTGTATTGGGTATGTATAAAAACTTCCAGTTATCTTTCAATATATTTTTTCTGTTTTCTCACTGGCCTCTCTACCTACCTACATTTTTTCAAAAAAATCATTCATGCCTTCATTTGTTTATTATTTATTCAGTAAATATGTATTGTTTGCCTAATATGTGTTGGACACTAGGTATACAATAGCTCACAAAATTGCATGGAGCTTTCAAAGAATAATTTTAATTCCCTATAACAGATATTCAGCTAATTTCATCAATTATTCTTTTTTTCCTAAAAACAACTTTGTTTTCATAGAAGTCAGTTCCGTTAAGCTGAGACTGTTTCTTTTTGGGAAAAGGAGAGGAAATAAAAAGTTTCTCCTTTGCAGTAAAACTGGCATTTCACGTACATTTATCCTCAAAGTAGGCAGGAATTTATAATCTGTTCTTTAGAAATATTCAGAAATACTCAAAAAAGTGGCTTCGTCCTCAGACATTCTCTTCCCTCACTGACGCCTTGCAGCTCTCGTCGGCCTCCGGCCAGCCGTCTCCTTAACACCAAACACCATGCAATTAAATTGCAGAGTTCTGATGGAGAGATATTTGAAGTTGATGTGGAAATTGCCAAGCAATCTGTGACTATCAAGACCATGTTGGAAGATTTGGGAATGGATGACGAAGGAGATGATGACCCAGTTCCTCTACCAAATGTTAATGCAGCAGTATTAAAAAAGGTCATTCAGTGGTGCACCCACCACAAGGATGACCCTCCTCCTCCTGAGGATGATGAGAACAAAGAAAAGCGAACTGATGATATTCCTGTTTGGGACCAAGAATTCCTGAAAGTTGACCAAGGAACACTTTTTGGACTCATTCTGGCTGCAAACTACTTAGACATCAAAGGTTTGCTTGATGTTACATGTGAGACTGTTGCCAATATGATCAAGGGGAAAACTCCTGAGGAGATTTGCAAGACCTCCAATATCAAAATTGACTTTACTGAAGAGGAGGAAGCCCAGGTACGCAAAGAGAACCAGTGGTGTGAAGAGAAGTGAAATGTTGTGCCTCACACTGTAACACTGTAAGGATTGTTCCAAATACTAGTTGCACTGCTGTTTATAATTTTTAATAGTAGACAAATGCAGCAGCAAGTCAATTGTATTAGCAGAATATTGTCCTCATTGCATGTGTAGTTTGAGCACAGATTCCAAATCTATGGCTGAGTTTCTTCTAGTATGATTGAAAACTTCATTTTTCTTTGCTCTGAATAAAACTGAACTGTGGGTTCTCTATAAGTGGCATTTTGGGCTTTCCCTATTTTTTGTGAAGCAATGTCTGCCTAGTTTATTGTCCAGTTAACTTCAGTGACCTTTTAAAAGTTGGCATTGTAAATAAAACAACCTGCAAAAAAGTTATCTGGAATAGAATGAATAAAATACTATCTTTATTCATGAGTTGGAAACTGGAAAAGGCTTCTTGAAGTAAATGTTCTGAGTGGAGTTACTGGGATGTCTTTCAGCCTCCCGCAGGCAAGGAGTACCACTGTATTGATTAGCCTGTATTTAGCAGGGTTCCTCCCTTCATTGCATCTGAGGACTTGTTTTCTTTTTCTTTAATTTTATTTTTAATCCTCTTAGCTTTAAATATATTGCCTAGAGACTCAGTTACTACCCAGTTTGTGGTTTTTTGGGGAGAAATGTAACGGGACAGTTTGTTGTCTTTTCAATTAAAGACACTTAACCTAAAAAAAAAAAAATCAGAAATAATTGGAAAATCACCCTCATTTATATTTGCTTTTGACAGGAGTCTGTCTGTAATATCCTCATTTGCCCTGTTGTTCAGTTTGCCTTGGATTTCAACGTTATTCAGTGCCTATGCTCTTAAGAGTAACTCTTCCCAGCCTCTATCCATGCCAATTTCTTTCAACACTTAACTAACCTGTGGATAGTGAGGTTGCAGTCAATTATTCTCAACTTTATCTTTAATATGGTAAGCAGGCAGTATTTTCTGCAAAAGGCATTTATTCCTAACTGAAAGGAGAAGAAAGCTAACTCTAGCTTCCTGTGGGCCCAGTCCCTTGTGAATTCCAAGAGGGAGAAAAAGGTTAATTGCTAACAGTTCTGTGCATGTGTCACTTACAACTTACCACTGGATTCCTTCAGTCTAACACCCTTTCAGCAGTAGCATTTAGCACATTGAGACCAGACCGAGTTTTTTATTGCTTACTTCAATAAGATACAGGGTGAGTTTAAAGGAGGCGATCTTTAAGATTTATCTGTGTGTTCCAGAATAAGAGTTCAATAATTCCTTTAATCCATGTTGTCATCTCCCTTGGCCTTTTGCTTTACTTTAGTCTTTTAACATTACACCTTATTTTAATAGCAGTTATCAGAATCCATATACTAATTCAATCTAACAAGACCCGTAGTATGAGGCTATTACAAGTAAAGTACTAAACCAGGTATTCATATTGCACTTAATAATTATACCATATTTCACAGGCAAGTAAACTGTTTTCATAACCACACTTTACAATTTATCTTTAAAAGATCTCTGACAATGAATCAAAGGTGTTAATTGGATAAATTTTTCTTAAGAAGAAAATGTAGTCTTATAACATCCCTTAACACTAGCTGAAGCAGTGGGCATAACAACTGCAAACGTACGTTCTGCAAACGTACCACAGAAATAATTTAAATTTAGTGAACAGGATCAGTAGAAGTAAAAACCAGGCTTTAAATAGAATTTGTGGATCCAAAGTTTCTTCTGGAAACTTTAAAACTATATTTATATTTATTACTAGATTAGTCAATCAATTGATCTGTCTGTCTGCCTATCTCATATCTATCTGTAAATGTGTATAGATAGATTCTTAAACACACTTAGTTCTTAGTGTATTTAATTTTCCACTACAGACTTCGTTTCTAGGATATTTTGGGTTACAGCAACAGCATTCCCTTGAAATTTCACAAAATCTTCCACATCTATGATGTTTCTAGATAATCATCAAGAGAGAGCTAAGCACTCCAACACTTATAAACAATAGAAATCGTTTCCATCCTACAAGTAAATCAACAGAATCATCTGTCCTTATTTCACAAACATATCCAAAAACGGAACTTCCGTGCATCATGTGGTTCATCCTCTATCTGAAATAATTACCATCTTTAGCATCATATACTTGATATAATTTTGCAACTCAGGGGTTTCTTAGAAATCCACTCATCTATTATTTCTGCAACTGCCTTCCAAAAAATATTCATGTACTTAAACATGCTAATAGGTGTTTGAGGAAACAATGTGTGTGTTCGAATAAAATTTGAAACGTTTTTTCTGGGAGCTTGTGGTACAAATTTTAGCACGTAATAAGGCTGAGAAGATCTGCTGTTGAAAAACAACAAGGGGGGGAGTTTATATTTTACTCTCTGAATGTATTTATTATTTTATACAAAAATATTGTTTTGTACAAAAGTATTGCATGCTAGGTATATAATAAATGATGAAATGGATCTCAGAGAAAGTGAAGAAAGAGACATGGGGAAAGATGTGATCAGTCCCAATAAGGAATGTAACTTTAAAAATTAAGAGATATAAGGACCCGTGCGGTGGCTCACACCTATAATCCCAGCACTTTGGGAGGCCGAAGTGGGTGGATCACGAGGTCAAGAGATCGAGACCATCCTGGTCAACAAGATGAAACCCCGTCTCTACTAAAAATACAAAAATTAGCTGGGCATGGTGGCATATGCCTGTAGTCCCCGCTACTTGGGAGGCCGAGGCAGGAGAATTGCTTGAACCCAGGAGGCAGAGGTTGCGGTGACCCATTGCACTCTAGCCTGGGTAACAACAGCGAAACTCCGTCTCAAAAAAAAAAAAAAAATTAAGAGATATGTCTGACAAGCATTTCTATAAAGCTTTATAATGTGAAGTGCTATATATCTCTTCTTTGGTGTCCTTAAGAATCACATTTCTTGTCAGAGTAAGAGAGAGAAGAAAGGAAAGTAGGAGGAGTGAAGAGAGAAAGAAACTGTTTAAGTTCGTCTAACCCTGTGCTTCCAAAATTTATTTGTGAACCCTTTTTTTCAAAGAATATTTGTAAACACTGCAGAAATTCTGGAAGATGCTTAACAACCAGCTCTTGGAAAACGGAGGGGGCCTGGTTTGTAGCACTTGTCCATTTCCATAGTGTAAATAATCCCAACTGTGGCCAGTAACAAACTGTCAATATGATGCCACCAGCTTCCAAGTTTCTGGCTCCAGCACACCACTGCCAGTGTTCCTTGGAGTAGAGTTTTAGAAATGTTGAGCTTGTGTATCTTACCCTTCTTCCCAGTCCTCACTCCTGTATACATATGTGCTTTAAAGATCAAAAAACTAAAGCCCAAAGAGGTTATGTGACTTTTCAAACTACACAGCTACTCATCTTTACTGGTATCTAAACTAATTTCTAAATTAAAACATGATTCCATACTATCTAAAGTAAAAATTCAGCTGTATGAAAAAGAAGCATAGTACTGTAGAGTCAATAAAGAAGGCCCTTACCTCATAAATATAAATTGCATATTGAGATCTTTTAGCTGCTCAGCTCCTCTTCCTGGAATTAGCATAACTTGGATAATATGTATGTATTACCAATATCTTTTCAGAGTAATTAAGAAATTTGAGCCCATTTATTCATAAATATTTTCAAATCCTTAATCAAAAGAGGTTGCATAAGAATTAAAAATATTATTATAAAGTCATTCATGTCTTAAAATCTTTTGGATCTTTGTCTCACCTAGAGGTAACTCTCTGAGGATAGAGAACATACCTTACTTAGAAACAAGGAAAGTTTACTCTTACTTGTTTTGCTGTTTTTGTTGTTCAGACTTTTCCTTGTAATCCATAATTTATCTTGTATTTTTTACTTGTCTTATATTTCCAAAAGATAGGATTTGTTGGGATGCATGCTTTTAAAACAGAATTGTTTTTTATGTGAATCTATACATATATATATATATCAATAAATTTGTTTTTGTTTGTTCAATGTGATGCTACTTCCTTAGGTTCAAAGATGATAATATAAATTTGTTTATCATTATCCTTTGTGGCAGAGAAGTGTCTGTGAGCACTTCTCTAAAAGGATTTGTCATATAAATCCCAGGCTTTTCCCTGTGGGCTTTTACTAATCTCAAACAAGTCCTTTAATCTCTTAAAACTTTGATTTCCTTATTCACAAAAGAAGAATAGAATAATAGTAATAGATACTTCATGGGGAAGAAAAACTCGAATACATAGATTTTGAGAATTGATTATTAAGTTTGTGAATTTCACCCTAACATTTGACTATTTTACAACATGTTAACTTTCACCAAGAGCTTGGTGGGAAAAAGAGTGAGGGCTAAAGTTTGTTTTCTTAAAATTATCTCTAGATTGAAATCATTTAGATTCCCCTGGCTTCTTGTTGAGAATGGAAGCCAAGATTTAGCAACAGTGGATAGTAGATATCTTGTAAGTATAATAATGGACTTGCCTTGCCCTATAATTATTTAATGAGCAGCATCAATAAAAGGACAGTTTTAAAAATAAGGACTTTACAAAACTCAATAAACCACAGATACAAGATGAAAAGAAAGAAAGGAGCTTAAGAAAAGTAGACAGAATTAAGATAATTGGAGCTCCCTGCTGGCTGGGCCACTTTCCTAAGGGGAACCACACTTTACATCTCAGCTATATAATAACTAACATTCATTCTGTACTGATGCATATCTGATTTTTTTCAGATTTTCTGATGAAATTCTACAAACTTTTGTTTTTTTAACTTGAAATCTACCTCTATCTCCAAGTTTCTCTGTGGTTGCAAAGTGATTGGTTCCTTTGACAATACATACACATCATTCAAGAAGACAATTTCCTTATAGGTATCCTAAGCTCTGCTGGAAAATTCCAACCAAAACTGGTAACTACAGGTCAAACAAGTCCTCCTAGGACTGGAACCAGTGATCCGTATTCATTGCTCCATCCAAGTCTACTAAAGTCAGTTCATCAAACAGCTTGTGAGTACAACTACTTTATAAGAGAGATTTTGCTGAAAATCCTGAAAATGATGTTATATGAAAAAGAAGAAAATTGTAACTAATATTTAAATAGGACTTGACTTTTACCCAGTATTTTCCCCATGTTATCTCTCTTAATCCTCACAATAATGTTATCCAAGTTTTATGGATTATCCCAGTTTTATGGATTAAAAAGCTGAAGTTGTAAGAAGTTGACTTATTTAAATCAATAGAAGATTGTCAGAGAAGACTTTGAGATTCAAATA